ACTGCTTGCCTTTGCCACCTTGCGTTGAATGGTGAATTCAGGCAGGCAGTGGTCAACATCATTCCTAAGGGAGGTGATTTGGGGTAATGCAGAGTCCAGCTCAAATTAGACACAACTTGAATGGGCCTGGAGAGGGAGGGCAAAATATGGAAGGAAGAGGCATGGCTTGAGATGGGAGGAAGGGGTTAGTGAGGTAAGATGGGGAGACGGTTCTTGGCCTGGGCTTGGGAGCCACTTGATGAAACATGGAGAAAAGCATAAACGTCAGGAACATGGGAGTTATTGGGGTGGGCAGTGAATGGGCACCGGGGTGTTTCTGTTTGGTGGTGGGCAGGGGGGCTATAGCAGATCTCTGCCCTCTCCGGCTCCTGTGATTCTTTGGCACAGAAACAAGTGCCGCTTTCAGCGTCCTAGCAGGGAGCCTAGGCTGGGGTGTGCGCTGGGGCTTGGGGCTTGTATGCCTGCTGCTTTCTGGGCATGGCTGATAATCAGGTTCTTTGTAGGAAAGTGGCATTTGCAAGTTCCCAGAACGTGAATTCCTGCAGCGGAGGGAGGCGGCACAATCCCGCTTTGTTCTCAGAGCCCCTCGGATGCGTTTTCTGGGTGGACCCGTTGTTTTTCCTTGAGCTGCTCGCAGCGGCTGATGTCACTTTTCTGCTTCCCCTTCCTCCTTCCGAGTCCTGCTTGCTCCTTGGCACCCATAAGGATCCTTAAATGCATTCAGGAGAGCTATGTCTAGAAATGCAGCCCTAGGAAAAAGGCATCATGTTCCAGGGTAGAGGGGGGATTTTCTTCTCCATTGGGCACTAAGGTGACTGTGCCTGGACTATGCGGCCAGCTGCTTGCATTGCTTTACCTGAAGAGTATTGACCAACTGGAAAGATGGTCAGAAAAGAACAACACAATTACCCAGGGGCTGAATGGATTGATTATATGGGGGCAGGGGAAGGTGGGGGATAAGCAGATGCAGTTTGGTTAAGGCATTACTCAGTGGACTGGGGGAGGCGATTCCATATCAATAACTGAAAGAGCAAGGAGGGATGAATTCTCTGGTGTGGTATAAAGAGAGATGGCTGGAGGAGCAGGAGGATGCTGGGGAAATTTTAGTCTAAAATATCAGGGGGGAAATCCTAACTGAGAAAAAAGGGGGCTGTGACTTGTGGAGCTACTACTGCTTGGAGGTCTCACCTCACCTGGACGATATCCTCGCGAGCATGCTGTGGGGAGCAGTCCTGGAGGAGAAGACGGAGACTGTCTAATAGACCTTGTAAATCTATTGTATCCACTCACTGTCTTGTGATTTAGAGCTCACTATAGAGGGAATGACTCACCCGGTTGTCTTAAAGCTACTTTTGGAAATGCGCGTCGGGAGGGTTATGAAGCGGAGACGATAATCTTAACCCTCGGCAAGTTTTGCCCCTTTTACAGGATGCTTTTTACCAGGAGGGAGAGGGAGAAGGGGGTGGATAGAGAGATTCTGCCCTCTGTTTCACAAGGTTGTACCACTCCAACAGCATCCAGTACTTGCTGTCTGCCAGGCTAGCGGAGAGCCCCCGTTTGGGAACTGTGCAATTGCACAATTACACTGAAGTTGCTCAGCAAACTGGGGGGGGTGGAGAGGGGAAGGGGTATTCCAGAGAGGCTTCTTACAGTGACGTACCTCAAAGTCACACACACAGGCAGGATTTTAACCCCGTGGACAAAGATCAGATATTCATGCTAGACATCCGGAGCAGAATTTGCACCCTTGAAAATTTGCCTACTAGTGACCTACTAGAGAGCGCATGGCTGTGACTCGTGAACCTTTTGTAGAGGTCAGAGGCTAAAGCCAAGTAATGCTGGGTGCTTATTGCTTTGGAAACTGCCCTCCTCTGAAGCTGCTTTAGGTAGGCTGGGCACCAAAAACTACCTGCTACTTTAAAAATGGTCTAAAACTCCAGGGAGCTCTTGTTTGCAAAATATCTTTGTTACGTTGTGAACATTTCTTAACAGCTCATTCATGTTTCTCCTTGTTCCAGAGGCTGAAGAATAGCAGTGGCATATTTAAGACGAGAGAAAAGTATTTAAAAGAGACCGAGGATACAGTATTAAGGTAAGGGACTGCTTCTGCACACATTTCAGTTATAGGGGCACGGTTAAATTAGGTTTGGATGGGACTTTTTGGTAGGTCGCAAGCAGTTGCTCTGAACAAACAGCAAGCTGCTGTCTGAACAAACGCTGGAGCTTCCCAGTATCCCAAAATGTAGGGTGTACCCCCCAAAAAAACCTTAATCCAGACCTGACTTGTGCAGATGATTTGCTGCTTACTGCAAAAGGCAAAAGAAAAACCATGGATCTGCAATGACCCCAACTCATGAGGTGTTCAGGTTCTGGGTTCATAGCCAAACTTTGTGGCCTGAGCTACTGATATCTTAACAGTAGAAATGTGGAAGGACCGACTCCAAAGTCAGGCCTGTGGGGCACTCTGCCTCTCCTTGCTGGATGCTGAAAGCAGTGCTAGAGTAATTGCATTACGCTGGTATAGGAGGCACATTCATTTGCTTACCTAACCATCCTCAGTAACTTAATTAAGTTACAGCAATCCTCCAATCCTACTGTAGCCTAATTAACACATTCTAACTGCCAAAAAATGGTAAAAACTTACTCACCTGGCTTGTTTCTTACCCTAATTAAGGGAACATTTAGTGGAATTGGAAATTGTGGTGCAAGGATCATGATCTGGGACTGATGAGTGCTGACGCAGGCACGTACTGAGAACAGACGTGCGTGTCCCCAGCTAACCTGACTTGAATCTGTCATTCGGTTGCTTCTACCGAGGGACGCTGCCTTCCAGACACTAAAACCGGAGGAGTCAGCAAGCGGCGTGTGCTCCATGTGTCAGTCTCAGTGTCCGGAAAGCAGCATCACCTCCAGGCTGTGGCACAGCAGATTGGATCAGCTGTGATCCGAATGCCCTTGGTTGCAGTACGTGATCCGTTTGGATCCAGCCTGGGCTTTTTCAGAAAGATGAGCTTAGTTTCCAGCCCTGTGTGCAGGATCTAGTGCAACTACCCAGCACAATTAAAAATGCTTTGGCGAGCTAATTAGAGGCATGCTTTGACAGGACCTACAGGTATCAGACCTGGTTCCCAAAGAGAGTGCTTGATTCTCCAGCACTTGAAGTCTTTAAATCAGAGCTGGCTAGCTTTTGGGAAGAAGCAGTTTAATTCAGCCCCCAGTTTTTTGGCTTGGTTTAGAAATTACTGGCTGGGAATCTGTAGCTTTGCAGAAGTTCAGACTAGATAATCTTCCTGTTTCTCTGTTGCCTTTTACATCTGAAGTTATACAACCCCATCAAAGTGGCTGGCATAACTTTTCCGTAAACTTTCGGTGGGATCAAGATTTTGCATGAAACCTTCTGCCACTTATTTGAGTGTGTTACGTGGCAGAAGTGAGAGGACCTGCCATCCAGTCAGGTCCTTAGACTGTTAACAGGCCTGTCCAGGGAGAGGTGGATTTCAAGAGGTGTTAAGAGCAACTTTGATTCTTCTCATCTACCTCTTAGGGATCCTGAGAGATTTAGTTAAAGTTTGAAGTGTTGTGAGAGCATTTACTGGAGAGAGATGTTTATCTGCGTGTTTCAACTGTGAATCTCTTCTTGGATGAATGTAAGAGGATTGTTTAACGGTGCCCAGGAGCATTCATACCTGCTGATGTAGAACTGCAGGTGCAGACATGGACTTAATTTACTTGAACTGCTAAGGGAATTCAGCTTGACATTGTAGTTCCCTGCTTTGAAATCCTACTGGGGTGCCTGGCTTTGCGCTGTTCCCCTTAAGGAAAGTACCTTGGTTCTTTCATCTTTGCAAGCGGCCAGGACCTTGGTTTCACGTCTTTCAGAGGAAACGTCAATACAAAGAATAGCGGGATTCGGTGAGTCCCAAAGTAGTTTCCTTGTTTATGGTTAGTCAAGGGAAGGGAATTTTAACCCCTGGGCATCCAGACACTAAACCTCATGCCATTTTGCTTCATTAACCTTTTCCCCCTGAGCAAAGGGAAAGCCCCCTCTCAGTGTCACAGCCCATATATTTGTGCCATGCTGCATCATGTCACAGGCTGCTGTGATGGAGCTGAACAGATGCAGTTTAACCTATGTGACACCACGTGTGGGAGGATGTGAACAGTTCACGTGGTGCACAGAGAGGAGTCAGCTTTGGTGACAAACTGTCTTCTGATCTGCAAGTAAGTTGTTGTTTATTTTTGGGCAGCGTGATTCTTCCATGTGCTCGAGGAAGCCAGCGAGTGGCACCTGGTGGCAGGCAGTCGGGGTATTTAGTCCTGGCTGGTGTTAGAGGACCACAAGATGACGTATAGGGAATGTGCCGTGGTACTCTGCCTGGTGGGTCCGAGGAGCACATGTTGCGTGGGCACCGTAGTAGTCACATAGGCTGCAAGCTACCCCTGATGGGAAGTGTCGTGTCTTTTTGTGGGACAGCAGAGACCCACTGGGTTGTAACAACTAGAAGGGGAGTAGCTCTTTGAGGCTTCAAGACACGCAGCAAGTCTGTATTGCAAAAGGAAGGTGTGAATGTAGTACAAACAGGTAAGCATAACAGTGCAGGGAGGCAGCCTGGGCTTTTGCACGTGCTAGAGACTAGAGTGCAAGCCCTCCAGGCCTCCTGGGTATGTACCATGGTTGCTAGCATGTGTTAAACCCTGTATCTTCACTGCCATTGTTACCCATGTTAGCACACAACGTGGTTTAGCCTCACTGACTTCATGGTTTCATTTTCACTGACTCCATCAACCTGCGCTGTCCAGAGCAGTGGTTTTCTGTCTGTGGTCTTGGGGTCCACAGACTATGCTTAAGGGGTCCATGAAAGATGGTTATGATCAATCAAAAGTACATAAATACCCACACTTATAATTCAATGGGGTCCATCCGCACCTCCATTTGAAATTTCCAAAGGGACCCACAAATGAAAAAAGGTTAAAAACCACCGGTTTAGTGTCACTGCACACAGCCACCCTAATCCTGACATGACCCAAGTCTTAGCAGGAATGGCTTGCTGACTGCAATAGGGTCAGCCTGTGTGTCAGACCCTGAAAGGGGCTGCAGGAAGTGAGCCTCCCGGTGTCTTATCCTTGAACAGCTCATTGACTGGGAGGCATGGGTTAACTCGCTGGATGTAAAAGGAAGGGCTTATCATTAAAGACCCTGATCCTCCTTTGAGCCCTTCCTGGCCCCCTGCACATTCCTGGAGGCTTTCTGTGCTATCTGGCTGGAGGTTTATCAGAACTGCACATGTTAAAACTGACTTCCTACATGCCCCTCCATCTGCACCACCCTTTGCTCTTTTAGGTGAGATTTGGGTGGTATTTTCTGCCGTGCTGGATGATGCCATGTGAAATACCGTTGCCAAAGTGCTGCGTGGTCGGTAACAAGGGGGTGAGGTTCCCATCCTGTTCAACAAGGCAGCTGAGTGACATGCCCGCAGCGAGGGTTGGGGCTGCAACGCCAGGCCTGGTCCCTGGTCCTGTGCAGCCAGCAGGTTCAAACACGCCGCCTCTCTGTGGCGTCTTTTGGATGGGCTCTGCCAAGCGTTCTCAGCTGCTCGCCTACTGACTCCTGTGTGCCCTCTTTCGAGGGCCAGCTGGGGAGAGGAGGTGGACTGGCCTGCCAGCCAGGAGGAGGAAACTGGCTTTTCCAGAGCAATTGCTGTGCAAATGGTACAACAGTTGCTATTTATAGCTACCACTGTGTGTGATTAGTGGTTGCTAATCACAAAATGACAGATGCTGCTACCTCTGGGGAGGGGCGAGCATGGGGAGCATGCACTGAAACACTGCCAGTTTTTCCATTGGGGTCTCTCCCTTTTGCATCTAATTATCCTGCGTTGCCCTGAAGGTGCAGTCCAGGAGATACGAGGGCTTGTGCTATCGGCCCTGCGGCATTGGGGGAATTTCTCTTCTATGTCTATGGCCAAGGGTGAGGAGGTAACAGTGCCAATTGCAGTGGTGCTCAAGGCTATTAAAAGTTAGAGTAAGAGCCATCAAGTTTATTCCAGGTAGAGTCCATCACACAATCAACTCTCATCATGATTTCTGGTTACTGTCCACCCAGATTCTGGCTTGGAAATGAGGACCAAGAGTTGAGAGGTTCAGTAGGTCATCTCCAGTCACCAGCCATCCCTCTGTGAAATGTTCAGCAAACCTTGTGGGGTGCAGCATGATAAGGGGACAGTCCCAGGTGTGTGACTCCATCTGCTCTTGTCCTCCTGAGCATCTGTTTCTCATAAAGTGTCCTCTTTTACAGTGATTCCCTATTCTCCCTAAGCAAAATCATTGAACACCTTCAGGAGCAAACTGGATGCTTATCTTGCTGGGATCCTATGACTCCAGCTGACTTCCTGCCCCTCGGGTAGGGGGCTGGTCCCTTCCAGCCCTAGTGTCTATGAAATCACCTCCCAGCTAGTCAATTAAGATGCAGTAGTGCCCAGTAGGTAGCAATATGAAGGAAAAACCTAAGACTTCGCTCATTTAATTTCAGCTCTCAGTCAAACGCACATTCCCACTTGCACTGAAGACAAGTTGCACTGGCATTTAGAGGAAGCTTGCAAAAGCTTGACTGTTTCCCCAAGCTCCTTTGCTTTCCATGAAGACTACGGCCGTCAAGTAATTCTTCTCCCCCTCTCCAATCCTGTTGATGAAAAGAGGAGGTGCCAACAACGAGCATCCAGGGAGAGCAGGCAGCAGAGTTTGGTTTGCCCATCAGCAGAGCTGATTTGATGCGGTGGCCCTGTTGTCACCCAAAATGGTTCCTGAAATCTGCTGTCATAAGGAGATTTCCCAGCTGCTGCAGCCCTGGCGTGCTGCGGGGCGCTCTGGGTCTCTCTAGCTGGCGCTCCATCAGAGTAAGTCCGGATCGTCTTATTGCACAAGGGGTATAACATTTGCAGGTTGAATTTCTGCTCTTGGTAACGGCTGCAGATCCCAAATAGCTCCTTCTGGTTAGGACACAGAAGGGACACTCGGGGGACCCCACAGTGTTTCCCAGTTCTGCCACATGGCTTGCGTGCCTTGGGAAGCGCTTGACTTCCCTTTACCATCTCT